GGATTTGCATCTAAAACCACACTCAAAAAGATTGAAACTATACAGAATCAAGCTCTTAGAATATGTTGTGGTGCGTTCAAAACATCTCCCATTGCAGCCATGCAGGTAGAAGTTGGGGAAGCTCCTTTATTCCTTCGTAGGTATAAATTAAGAATGAATTATTGGGTTAATCTAAAAGGACATAAAGAGAGTCATCCAGTAAAGGGTGTGATTGAAGAATGCTGGGAGCATGGAAACAAAAATATTAAAAGCTTTGGATGGATTGCTAAAAGGGAAGCACAAGTTGTTGGTATTGCAGACTGTGATGTTAGCCCTACTGTGATATTGTCCAGTATACCACCGTGGATGTTTCCTATGCCAATAGTCGATTTTCAAATACAAATAAAAATTAAGAATGAGAAAGAAACCCCTAAGAACATTATTGCACAGCAGTATTTAGATCAGACTTATCCATCGTGGTTACATATATATACAGATGGTTCTAAAGACTCTATCTCTGGCAGAACAGCTGCTGTAGTATTTATTCCACAGTTTCAAACTAGTATTAAGAAAAGAATAACTGATCATGTATCCGTGTATACAGCAGAATTAATTGCCATGGTGGTAGCGCTCCAGTGGGTAGAGGATGTAAAACCAAGGTTAGTAGTAATATGTTCTGACTCTTATGCAGCAATATTGAGCCTTGCAAGTGGAGTAAAAACATCAAGGCAAGACATTATTTATGAGATTCTTGCAAGTTTATTACGAATAATTAATATAAGCTTAATAACATTTTTGTGGGTTCCCGCTCATGTGGGAGTGGAGGCTAATGAAGTGGTTGATAAGCTTGCTAAGCAAGCTCTTATACACTCAGAAATAGATATTCAAGTGACTCTTAGCAAAAATGAGGTTAAAGGGAAAATTAAAGAATTCATAAACAAAAAATGGCAAGAAGTATGTAACTGTGAAAGCAAGGGCAGACAAATGTATAATATTCAGCAGCAAGTAGGACATGGAAGAAGTATTTTTAGGAATAGGAAAGAAGATACAATTATTTCTCGCATCCGAATAGGGCATACTAGATTAAATTACTCTCTGTTTAATATAGGAAAACATGAAACCGGTCAATGTATTTTTTGTAATCAGGCAAAAACAATAGAGCACGTTTTAATAAAATGTAAAAAATATGAAAAAGAAAGGTTAAAACTCATTAAGGAAGTAAGAAACATGGGTGTTGAATCATTTAATTTGTCAAACCTCTTGAAAGAGCATGCAGAACAAGGTAAAATATATGGTGCTATTGTTAAATACATTAAAGGAATAGGATTAATCAGGAGAATTTAGGAATGTGTGTGTTTTGGTTTTTAAAAAAAAAATAAAAAAAATTTAATATAAAATATAGATAAATATAAATATGTATTTATTAGTGCTCCACACTCCAGTCCAGTTGGTGGCGGTAAATGCACCAGAAGTTGGTTTGCCATCCGCCATAAAACGTTATTAGAAGAAGAAGAAGAAGAAAGGCGGGGCATAGAGGAGAAACAATAATGAACATTATGTGGAAAATAATGTTATTTTTTTTACTTTAAACCGCATAAACACATTTCATTACACCAAATACACAAAATAATATTATTTTTTGCAACATCATATAACCCCTTTAAAACACCTTGCGGGCTCAACCACTGTTCCCAAAAAGGATAAAAGTCCTTCCTTAACCACAAACATTTTTTGCTGCTTGTAAACGCCGTCCTCTGTTGTCAGCAGCTCACATTGGCGAGAACAATATATTATTTATATTATTATTATTATTATTATTATTATTATATTATTGCAAAATATATCAACTACATTTGTATTTGTGCATTTGTGTTTTTTTAACAGTGTGCATGTTTGTGTTCTTTTGTAAGGAAGACACAAAAATAATGCAATGAAAAATGACGTAGGTCTAATTTATTGGGGTATTAAACATTCTATTTATGTGAAAAGACACAAGTTTGATGCAAGTAAACATTAAGAAAATAAAGTCTTTATTGTCATTGTATTGTGCAAAATACAATACATTTGGGAAACTCTATCGCTGCACACACACATGCCGCCTTTCACTTTTTCTTATGCTTATTAAATAGACAATTAAACCTTACAATGACATCCCAATGAACAAAACATCTAAATGATACAGTTGGTGTAAGAATTTGTATTGACCACCAGATAGCGGGGTAGAGCACTGTGCCAAAAGCTTCGAAGCATCAACGCAGTTTGTTGCAAAAGCCTCACTGCTTCAAAAGCCTCGTTTGGCACATCCCTTTCGCGCTACAATAATGTGCTCTCGACATTTGTCATTAAAATAACGCCACAGGACTTGGATTGATAGAAATGTTTGGCAACTCAGCTGGACTTTTACTTTAAGCAGGACTTTTATTTTATACTCCTCTATGCCGGATGTTGTAGTTAGATATGTTGATGAGTCTTTGCGGTGTCAGCCCAGCAAGACTAGTTGAGCGGAAGAGGACACAGGTGGAGGGCATTACATGTAACTCCAAAATCAATAAACTCCCGTTGTCTTCAAGAGTTTCATCAGCTAATCGGAAATGTTTTCTCTTTCGACTTCCCTTCAGCCACAGGTATCAAATCGCTGTCTGTTGAGGACAGCTGGTTTCATAACTTGTAACGTTACGCAGGCTAGCTGGTTAGCTAGCATATATAACAAGCAGCACTTTAATCTTAAAATTTGAGCGAATAGTTTTTGAACACCGTGCTGAAAAGTCGATGATATGTTATTAGTCTAGTCGTTGTTATAGCTCACTTGATTGCAGTGTTATTGACGGTTTCTGTTTATACAAATGCTGTTTGAAGACATTGATATGCGTAACGTAACCAGTGTATAAACATGCATCACAACAGAAAGGTTTTTTTGATCATTTAATCCACCACAGTGTTTCAAGATGTTGAAATTACACTCTAACTAGATGGCCATCTTTAAATATCTACACAAAGGCCATAGCATTGAAATGACATGCATATGGATATTATATGTATACTCTCACACTTTAACTGATTCTATTCTAGAACACTTCATGCTTATCTTATCAAAATATGGCAGTGTGCAGGCCATAGCATTGAAATGACATATGGATATTATATGTATACTCTCACACTTTAACTGATTCTATTCTAGAACACTTCATGCTTATCTTATCAAAATATGGCAGTGTGCAGGCCATAGCATTGAAATGACATATGGATATTATATGTATACTCTCACACTTTAACTGATTCTATTCTAGAACACTTCATGATTATCTAATCAAAATATCAAAATATGGCAGTCGCACACCGGGAAAAAAAGTGCAGCGCCTCGTCTAGGAGAACTCGCAGGTATCACACATGTTCAGTTCAAGCAGCGGTCTAAAACAGTTTATTTTTTATTTAAGTTCACTTTAAGAATTAACAAAAAAGCAGCATACATGTTTAAAAAAACAGCAAAACTGAAAGAAAATGCGCGAGTTAGAGCTCTATATGAGGCATACAGCCTCAGAAAGACAAACGTTTCACTGAAAAATGCACAATACACTATTTTCCAGCCCAGGGTGAAATCTATATGTAAATTAACGATTTGGGACTATTGTAATTTAATGGGAAAACTATGTGAGTGGCGCTCTGTGGAGCGGCAGGATTTCTGCTGCATAAAATAAACATATCAGTTTGCTTTCTCACGTTACTAGCTTTAAATATGCAACTTGGCTGGCTAACAAATGCATTAATGTGACCAGCTGGATATAAACTAATGCTGGATTTTTTTTCTCTCACATATGAAATACTTGGCTTTGCTGTTTATCTCCCCAGGTAACAGTCCAGTTGAGTCACCTCATCAATGCCCTGCACTCTCTGAAGGGTTCAGTGAGCAGCAATACTTCAGTCAATCACAAACACAGAGAGAACATACCAGAACAAGATCTGAACTGCACAGAGGTAATTGCATTCATCTGTACACTGATAAATACTTTACACATGTAGGTTTTCGGAGCCTCCCCTTTGTCCTTTGAAGTCATTTATTTCCATGGAAATGTGGTTAATAAATTGAGCAGTTGAATGTTAGCAGCTTTCAAATTAATGATGCTCTTCTGAATCCTAACAGTGTTTTTCCTTCTTAAATTCTGCATCTGTGGTGTTGTGCTGGGAAGCCATCACTGACCCTCAGGGATTTAGGTTTGACAGATCTCGGGGTCAGCCAGCTAGATGAGCTGGTGCAGAAGCTTCTGCCCTGTGTTACTCAGCGGGAGTCGCTCTCACAACTGAGGAGTGTGCCAAATATCTGGAGGACTTCCCATCTTTCCTCAGATTCATTCTTTCACAACAAACATGGTGAGACACAAAGATTGTCCTTCACGTTCTTGATACCTGAGCCAATGACATAAATCCTAAGCTTTGTTAAATTTGCTGTTTCTTTAACACTTTTAAGCGTTTTCCTGTGCCAAAAATAAATAAATATAAAATGCACATTTGTGAATGAGACTACTTAAATCTCCCTCATTAGGACCTTTTTTTCTTACCAATAGACCTTTTATTTGCCATTGCATTCATGCACTCAACAGTTCACACAATAGTTAACTGCTGCAGCCATCATTGTAATCTTGATTATTATATAATTGATTGTGCAGCTTTCTCATGTTGTAAGACTAAATTTACCACACATGATGTATTAACTGTTTAATTTCTGCTTTCCTTTTCAGGGTTTTCAAGAATGGGCGGTGTTACTGCTGTGTTCTCTAAGCAGAACAAGTCACCTCTCCAAACATTATGTACAGATCTCAAATATTTGCCATGTAAAGTGTGAAGTATTTTGTTATTCAGTTGTCACTCAGTAAACAGGCAACTTCATTTGACATGATCTGTGTTTTTTCCAGCTGATATTCATAAAATATTAATCTTTTATTTTCAGTGATGGTCCCAAATCGAGGCTTTAAAACTCTGAAGTCAAGAACACGCCGTCTACAGGGAGGCTTAGACAGTACAGCGGAGCCTGAGGGATATACACCATCATTTATGAAGGTCACGCACAGTAATACAGCACTTTCTTTTAAATGATGTTAACCTAATGTAGTGTTTATTTACTTAAAACACAAAGAGATAGTTCAACAAAAAATTAGAACTGGCATCATTTACTCTCACCCTCATGTTCTTCCAAACCTGTATGACTTTGTCTTCTGTGGAACACAAAACAAGATATTTTAATTATGTAACTAGATAAGACTCATTTCCTGCTGAAACTATTAGACTCTAAATGATTAACTTAGATGCGTTAAAGGCGACGGTGACTTACATATCAAAACGGCCTGACCAGATCAGTGCACAGAAAATTTAGGCTTGGTTCTCACGCAGTACTATATTTGATGAGCTTTATGTATGTGCAGTGATCGGTGTTCATATGTGAATAAGAGTTGGTTTCTCTTAATCTTTTAAACAGCATAATGAAAACAATATTTGTATTTAAATTATTTTCAGAGCTGTGCTTCCTGCACAACCCTGGGAGTAATTTTTCTTAAAAGTCCGTATAAAGCAATATTAAAGGTAGAGCCCGACCGATATATCGTTTAGCCAATATTATCGGCCGATAGGAGCCTGTCGCCGATATATCGGTATCGGCGAATCCGATATGAACATTGTTTTTACAGAACATAACGCAGATCAAATGCTTCTGAATGGTGTAATTACTTAGTTTGTCCAGCAGAGCGCGCTCCAT